CTTATTGGCGTTGATGGTGTGCTTGACTTTTCATGGCAAATTAGGCACGCAAGAAGGTGGCTAAAATAGTCCACTGTGTTCTTGATAAAGAAAAAAAAAATAACGAATTATAATTTATTATTTACTGTTAAACAAATAATTTATATCAAGTATAATAAATTTTAAACTTACACTAATGTAAAAAAATTTATATATATATATATAGCGAAATAACTTTTATAAATGTAACACTAAAAATATAAAAGTTAAATAAAATTTATAAAATATTACTTGATTTCTAAACTTTGTTTTTGATAAAATTATAATTTTGATTCTATCTAGCTCTAACTAAATTTATGTTTTAATTCTCATATAAAAATCTTTTTTATTAAATACAACTCTTGTATATATACATATTCGTGCTCACATATTTTTTATATTTTAAGATTTATTTAATTGAGAGTTTATTTTTGGGAAAGAAGGGAGGAAAAAATTTGTTTAGTAATAAATCTTGTTTAAAAAAATTTAAATGAGATGGAAAGTTTCATAAACCCTATTAAACTTATGTTATTAGGTTTCCTAAATTGGAGAATTTTTTTAAAATATACCAAAAGATGTAGCAAACACCGGATTTTTTGAAAAAATAATATTGATGTTATCATTTTAATTTTCTTAAAGCACAGTAAAAAAGTGTAATTTATTAAAATACTCCTTAAAAATAGACGACATTATATAAATTATTTTGATAGAGTAATACGGATATAAATTTTCGATATTCTATATATATATAAAAACAAAGGTCGTAAGGAAGCATTTAACTAATAAATTAAACATGTAAACACACACAACATGCAGGCTACGCAACACCGACAGTCGAACTAATAACCTCTAAACTAATTACTAGTAGTCTTTTTATTTAATGAATATTATAAATATATTCTCGTATTATTAAAGAATTTTGTTAACTGCAACACTTAAGATTGAATTTAAGCATTTATAAATAAAAAAATTTATAAAAATTATTATATTTTTCTGTTTAATAAAATTTGATTATTATTAAATATTTATCCTCAGTCTTAAGAGCTGAAATTAACAAAACATAATAATAATAATAATCATTGGCGGCATGTACATGTATTGATGGTAAATAAATGATACTTAACGCTTTAGCATTTTATGCGTTTTAGTTTTTTTTTTTTTTAATGCTATCTTTATCAACAAGTAAGTTGAAAACGGTCGATATTTATATTTGTTTATATGTATTATCTTGTAGGACGAGCAGGAAGAAATCATAAAGAGAAGACCTCCAATGCAAAAAAATATAGGTGTTAAGGAAGTCAAGCAAATGCATTATCTTTCAAAGGTAAGTATAAGTTAGCACTCCCTCTAATTCAAGTCATTTTAACACGTAATAGTAATCGTTTTTCAGGAGATGCAAGCTAGCTTTCATTATATTGATGCGAATTTTATAATTTATATTTCGATATCTTTCGGAGGAGGTTTAAGGAATGGTTTGAATTCTGCTTTAATTCATTGTTTTACAAAATTATTTATTTTATAGGTTGGAGCGAACAAATCCAGAATGTCCCATTACTTGTTTGCCACTTAGTAGGCCCACAGACAACTGTTTCGGGAGGGTGATAAAGATCACATGAGCTGAAAAGCTTATAATTTTCTAGTTCGTCTGGCTTTACTTTTGTACGTATGAATTGAATTTTTATGTATATTTTTTTTTTATTTTTGGTATATTAATTTCTTTTTTTCATAAAAGAATTTATTTGAACTATTTTTACTTTTTAAGTTTTAATTAGGCCTTAATTCAATTAATTTATAATAGTACTCCTTCTAACATTATTTAGTATTTAGATTATAAATTGAGTTATAAACCTTGTTTTAATGTGATCCCTTTTTTTTTGTAGGAAAGTTAAGATTTGGACCTACAACTCTTACTGAGAAATAAGAGACTAAATCCTAATGTCTAGAGTTAGAATTGGGGTTAAATGGGAAGAGAAAGGAGACAAATGTGGATCTAACCAGTGTGCAATGTTTTGCGCCATATCTCAATATACAAATATTCAATTGAACTCATTCTAGTGACATTTGAAAACTAACATTCAAGCCTTTAATTCATATTCAGATTATGAAGTCAAAAGAATGCAAAATTTTTAGGCCGAAATAAAGGAACAAGTTACAAATTTGTTCTAGGATTTTTTATTTTTGGATAGATTTAGATTTAATTTGAAGTTTTCTCTTTTTTTCCATCTTCTTCCCTGTACTCAAAACTTTGAATTTTTGTGCTCTTCCACCCATAAAAGAGTAGTTTTTGTAATATAATTTAAGGATTAAGGAAGTGTAACAATTTTGAGAATCAGTTTACAATTTTTGTTCTCAATTCGTGTTCTCTCCTCTTCTCTTTAATCTATTTAATTTAATGAACTAAATATATTTGTTCTAATTGCAATTAAAAAGTAATTGATTCATCATTATTCGTTTAAAATGTGTGAATCAACTTTAGAAAATTAGGATTAATTAAGTGGTGCAGAAAATTAATGCATTTTGATTAAATTCTAAAGGTTTCTAAATTTTAACTGATTTTGTGTGAATCAAATGCATGAAGATTTTCGTGTGATCACTTATTTTGGATTTATGTTTCATTCAAATTCAAGTTTTAACCCCTCATATTAGAATATTAATAATTTTCTTTATTTAATAATTGAGAGTTGTTATTTTCTTTTTAATTCTTGAATTAGATGTTTAATTAACTAATCGTCTTATCTTATTTTTTAAAATTTTATTTTATTGATTTTATTGAATTTTCCTGTTCTAAACTCTAATTTGATAAATTATTTTAATGTTCCTTAAGAGACAACTCTGGTTGCTTGTCTCGTGCTATAGTAATTAGATTTTTATTATTTTGACTCATGTACGATCGTGTATCCAATTTGGCGTAGTTGCCGAAGATCATCAAATTAGGATTAAATTAGATAGAATAGTACAAATTTATAATAAACCTGTTGGACACTTAATGACTATGATATTATTTGTGTTTGTGATTGTGAAAAAGGTTTAATAGTCATGGTACATGTGAGGAGCAAATAATGTTGTTCTGACCATAGAGGATAAGAGAGTGTCCAAGACTTATAGGGAATCAAGCATAGCTAACTTGTGTCGTAGGTAGTGGGACTTTGCTAACCTATCCTGATAGACACTTGAGCATATCAAAATTGGTTTAAGTGTGGGCTGCTGATAGTGATTATAAAATGAGAATTGTGTATTTATGTTCTGTCTCTGATAAAATGAGAAGATATACCTATGACACTAACGAGATTGCAGACATGAAACTCTCAATCTCAACCTGAAAATAAAATATTGGACAACTAACTAATTATTCCATGGAGAATTCACAAATAAAAGACATTGAATGATTGTTGCTTGATGCTTGAATGTTGTTTTGTTCATTTAAGCACAAGTTTGGTTTGATGCTTGAATGTTATTTTGTTCATTTAAACACAGGTATTGTTGATGCTCGATACCGTTGATGCCTGAATAATGTTTAATTCATTTAAGCATATGTTTTGCTTTGAATTATTGTTTATGAATGTTTGTACTCATCCATCTTCTTTGTTTTGTGTCTTTTGACAATGTTATGAATGTAGAATGACTCTCCTTTAAGTGGACCGGAGGAGTAAGGGATGAGCTAACTAGAGAGTAACTTAAGATTGTTGCAACTAGTTATATGTTTTGTGAACTGTTTAAGGGTCACTACGTAGATCTTTGTTTCTTTTATGATGTAATTAATTAAATGGCTAGAAGAAACTAAGGTTTGTAATCTATTGGGCATTATAATATTATGTCGTTGTATGATATTAGTACTTTTATGTAAAAAAGTTAGTTGATACTTTAGACATAATTGACTTTTATATATATTATAAAAAAAACTTTGAATATTTTCTTAAGATATATTAGATAATGGAAATTTAACTATTAAGAATAGTAAGGTTTCAATATTCTTTTACAAGGAATAGTGACAGTAGTATCAGAAATTGGAGGATGAAGACATCATTGATTTATTGTTAGAATTTTTAGTTGCGGGTCATAAAGCCACTGGCATCTGTATTATGTTCTCAATCATATATCTTTCACAGCATCCAGATAAGATATCATGAAAAAAGCCAAGATAAATATATAGAATATATTGGTTTGTCTTCATTTATCAAAAGCAACTCCATGTTTTGATACAAAGTTATCGTTGCTTTTTTTTTTTTTATGTATAATTCTTCTAAATTTAAAAGATTTTTGTAAAAAGTTAAAGATATATTTAATGTTGATTTAAATTAAAATATTTTGTAAGTTTAAAAATTTTTAAAACAAGAATAAATAAATTTTATGTCTTCATCATCTTACATCTCTTCTTTATAAGAGGAGCAAATTGAAAATTATTCTAATATCATTATCTATTTTAACATTATTTTCAAATTATTATCTATCTACACGTCTCTGAAACAATAATGTAGCCAAAAGTCGGTATCATCTGAAACAATAATGTAGTCAAAAGTCACTATCATTATCGATGCTCCTACATGGTTTATAAACTACGTACGTACATCAATATTAATTTTAACTACAGGTATAAAATACATCAATAATAATTCTAATTACAGGTTTTATATAACTAAATTGTCAACCATGTGTTATTGCGTACAAGTCAATATATATTCTGGGATTGGAATATCAGTGTGAATAAGATTAATTATTCTTGGTACGGTCGTGGGCCTATATCCTATGATTAATTAAACATTTACTAAGTTTTTCTTTCGACAACGAAAAGAAATTAAACATTAATTAGATCAATTGGTGATTTTATTTCGTACGCAATTTAAATAATTGAAAAACGAGATGAGCATGTCTTGCATGCCTTATTGCCAAATAGTTATTAATTAGATCAATTATTGGAGGCTTCATATGGAGGGCAATCAACTTATAAATTGAGAGATCAATTGAAGGATGAGACAGATTCGAAGATGGAATTGAATTGGGTTTGGAAGAGTGCTGCCACTTTGTTTGCATGCTACATTTTTGTATGTAAATTTTTGAGGGGGTTGAATTGGTGGTATTATGATCTAAAATTCAGAAACAAACAGTACCCACTGCCTCCTGGTGATATGGGATGGCCTCTTTTTGGCAATATGTTGACATTCCTCAAGGACTTCTCATCTGGTCATCCAGATTCACTCATCAACAACCTTGTTTCCAAGTTCATCTCTTTACTTTTTCTTTCTCTTTAACTTATGGCTAAAACCTCGTTAGTTTAAAATTTTTTAACCATTTAGAATCATAGTCCTTTCACTAAAACCCTCTTTAACTTATTGCTAATTAGCTAAAGTGAAACATTATTATCGAATATATTCTAAATAGATATATTATTACATAATTTCTCACTCTTACCTTGCTTAATTATATATGTTTCAGATATGGAGGAGATGGTATTTACAAGAGTCACCTATTTGAGAAACCATGCATCATTGTTACTACATCCGAGATGTGCAAGCGAGTATTGACAGATGATGAGAATTTTAGGCCTGGGTATCCAACAGCATTGAAAGAGCTACTACCAAGTAGACCCTTGAATGATGTGTCTGGTGTCGAACATAGGCGTTTTAGGCGCCTAGTAACTGCTCCTATTATGGGTCACAGTACGTTAGAAATGTACGTAGAGCGTATCGAGAACATTGTGGTCAATGCATTAGAAGAAATTTCCAGCATGAAAGATCCTGTTGAGCTCTTGCCAGAGTTGAAGAAAATATCATTTCAAGTCATCGTTAACGTTTTCTTGGGCTCTAAAAATCAGGACATCCTTGAGAAAATAGGAAATCTGTTTTCTATTATGTTTGATGCCGTTTTATCTGTCCCCGTTAATGCACCCGGTTTTGCTTTTCACAAAGCACTCAAGGTTTTTCTTTTTCTTTCTCTCCTCCTCTTTCTTGTTTTATTGCTGTTTCGAAAATTAAATATTTAAAATGTTATCATATTAATTTTTAAGAAAAGACAATAAAAAGAAACAGTTGAATTTGTTTGTAAAAGAGTATTTATAATAGAAAATCTAAATTTTTCTTTTTAATATTTATAAAAAAAAAGCTTAAATGTGTTTTTAGTCCTCATATTTTATCATAATTTTAGTTTTAGTCAATTAATTTTTTTTATTTTTTATTTTTAGTCCTTGCTATTGAACTGATCGATTAAGATGTTTTCAATTGTAAATTTTTTATGGAACCACATCAGTTAAAAGGATTTAAAATAATAATATGCTAAAATATAGGGACTAAATTAAATAAAAAAAATTAACTTAGATGAAACAAAGCAAAAAATTTTCAAAAACGTAAGAATTAAAAATATATTTAAGCCAAAAAATAATTAGTAAATATTTAAATAATTTAATTGTTTAAAGGACTTATTGTTGTATTAGGGGAAAAAAAAAGGACTTATTGTTGTTAAGGTGTACTTTTTACATTGAAAATTAGGCACGTAAGAAGCTGGCTAAAGTAGTTCGATGTGTTGTGGACGAAAGGAGGATGATGATAAAAAGTGGTCAAATGGAAAATAAAGATCTTATTGATATTCTCTTACAAGTGAAAGGTGATAAAGGTCAGAAATTGGAGGATGAGGACATCATTGATTTATTGTTAGGGTTTTTATTTGCGGCTCATGAAACCACTGGGCAAGGTATGATGTGGTCAACCATATATCTTTCACAGCATCCAGATATCATGAAAAAAGCCAAGGTAAATATTAATTTATTCATGATATTCGTTAAAATTTAACAAGTGTTCTCTTTTGTATAAAAATGAGTAGAACAAACTCAACTATTGAATCTTACCATAAAATTAACACTAAAGATATAAAAGTTAAATAAAATTTATAAAATATTACTTGATTTCTAAACTTTGTTTCTGATTAAATTATAATCTGATCATTCATATCTAGTTCTAACTAAATTTATGTTTTAATTCTCATACAAAAATAAACTTTTTTATTAGATGTAACTCTTGTATATATACATATGTGCACACATATTTCTTATCTTTTAATATTTGTTTAATTGAGAGTTTATTTTTGGGAAAGAAGGGAGGAAAAAGAAAAATTATTTGGTGATGAATTTTGTTTGAAATTTTTTTAATGAGGTGGAAAGTTTCTATACTCGATTAGAGCACTAGTAGAAAAAACCTTTTTACATCAGTTAAAAAGGGTTTTTTATGTCGGCTCTGCAACTAAGGTAGATACATGTGATGTAAAAAAAGACCTTTTATATTGGTTGTTAATAACCGATGTAGAAAGTGTCACTTTTTAGATTATTCATAATAATCGAAGTGAAAAATGTTCTTACTGTTTATGTTCATATTTGTCAATAGCGTCAGTGTTTTTTTTCTCTAACAGTTTATGTTATCACTATATTTTCTTAAGATTTAAAACACTATTTAAATTAAATTAAAATCTATAAACGTCAATGTTCATTGTGTTCGTCATGTTTGTCATGTTCATCTTTGTTTGAATATGTAGCATAAAGAATATGCAGTGTTTGTCAAATTGTTTAATGAAGAAAAAAATACAGATGATGTCTCAAATCAATGAATGAGCAAGTGTATACATTGTCACAGTAGAATCACTAAAAAGAAGTATCAAATATTGATCCACAGCAACTGTTAATTAAGATTTTCAATCCTTAATTACTCAATTTTCAAAGAACATAAACAAAAGAATTATGATGATACTTTCGCTAAGACAAAAAATAGCAAATAGAAAAAAAAAACAGATTTCAAGAATTAAAATCTCAAAAATTGGGTTAAGTAAATTCAGATGGATAAAGCGAGTACCTAGATTGTAAATCCTCCTAAGCATCCAAATAAATAGATTTCTCCTCCAACTACTCAATTTTAATCTCTTAGAGCTGCAAAAATTCTTAAGATAAGTCAATACCTTTGTCAAGGATAATAGCTCGTAACCCTTAGTTGACTACTTAGAATCTCTTCCTTAATTAACACCCCTAAAGTTGAATTAAATTTGATTTGTGAATTTCACTATTTGGGTTGTCCTTGATTCAGAAGACTTAGGTCATTCTATTTATAGAGTTGCATTCAAGTCTTTTTAAATGAGCAATGATCAATTCATGCTAGATTTCTACTTAAAATCAGAAACATGAAAATAAGATAAGAGATAAACTGAATCATCAACCAACAAATAAAACTACTCAATTAACCTCAAAAAAATAAAACTTGAAATAGTCTGAAGGAGAATTCTACGAAAGGATTACAAAGGGTTTATTACATCTAAGTATTCAAAAAGGAAATTAGAAATTAAACATAGACAAACTACAATCTAAGATTAGAGAACGAGAGGAAAGGCTTGTTGTCATCCTTAGTTGTAGCCGTCATTTTTTTTCTTCTTCCAAAATGTCCCCTTAGCTTTTTACATCATCCTCTTTTTATATTGGCAGCTCCCTTGCCCATTTTCTTGCAGATGCTCAAATCTGGCCCGCATTAATCTATATTCTCAGATACATAACCGTGTACTTGCCCGTGTATATCTCTAATTCCTTAATAATTCATCCCTTTAAACTTTAAGCTTCTGATTGAACTACACTCTTGAAAACATGGACATGTACTTGACTGTATATATCTCTGCTTCAAATATTTTGCTTAATTTACATGATCCAATAAGTACACTAGCATGTATTTAGGCATGTATTTGCTAGTGTAAATCTCTACTTTTAAGCTCAAACCAATTCTTTCAGTCTGAAAAGTACATGTGCAGATACAAGAACGTGTACTTGCCTGGATGAAAAAATTGTGTCCTTTGCAAATTGTGTCCCTTAATGGTTCCCAATACTTGTTGTTTCCATGTGAAAAAAATTTCATTATCCAGTTTGATATTGATAACAGAGCACTTGTATGATGGGCTGAGAGGACCGTACAATGCCTGATGGCATAACAATGGATCAAGCTCTGATACCATAAAGGTATCTAAGCAGTAAGGGTTTAAAGAAGAAAAATAAACACAAGAAAAGAACATTATGAATACAAAAAAGATTATTATTGATGAATCACCATTACAACCCTTAACATGATTTATATATATATATATATATATATATATATATAGAGAGAGAGAGAGAGAGAGAGAGAGGAGAACTAAATTAACAGAAACAACTAACTTTATCAATGATATGATCATCACTCTCGACAAAGCCAGCTAGGGGCATGTGCAACATGCATGTATTGATGGTAAATAATGGTTCTGAACGCTTTAGCATTTTATACGTTTTACTTTTTTTAAATGCTATCAAGTAAGTTGATATGGTTACAGAGAAGGTAATTTATATTTGTTTATATGTATTATCTTGTAGGAAGAGCAGGAAGAAATTATAAAGAGAAGACCACCAATGCAAAAAAATATAAGTATTAAGGAAGTCAAGGAAATGCACTATCTCTCAAAGGTAAGTATGTTTGGATGATAGTAATTTAAATTTTTTAATACATGTATCAACACTCTGATTTTCTTTATGATTAGGTCATTTTTTAAAATACATTAAATAATGTTGTCATGCCTTGCAGGTAATTGACGAAATGCTGCGACTGGCAAATATTTCCTTTACACTTTTTCGAGAGGCAACTGCTGACGTGAACATCAATGGTTTGTCGATATTATAAAAGTGTTTATTTAATTTCTAGTTATGTCTGTTTATGAAAGGAAGAAAAGAAGAAACATGTTTATATCATCACCCAATTATTTTCAGGTTATATGATACCGAAGGGATGGAGAGTACTAGTTTGGATAAGAGCTCTTCATATGGATCCTAAATATTACCCCAATGCAGAAGAATTTAATCCCTCGAGATGGGATGTAAGTTTGAATGTAATATAACTTGTTTTTGGACAACTAATTACTCTATAATTTCTTATTTTTAATTTATTTATCTGTTTTCATGACGGGTGCAGGATTTTGGTTCCAAAGCTGGAACCTTCTACCCTTTTGGAGGGGGGAGTAGGATGTGTCCTGGAATGGACCTAGCCAAGCTTGAGATTTCCATATTTCTACATTATTTTCTCCTTAATTATAAGTTAGAACTCTTTCTTTATCCCTTTTCATTTACTGTTTAATTTCGTTATTCACAAATTCACGTTACTTTCACACTAGTAATCGTTTTTTAGGAGATGCAAGCTAGCTTTCAATATATTGATGGGAATGGTTTGAATTCTGCTTTCATTCATTGTTTTACTAATTTACTTTATAGGTGGGAGCGAACAAATCTAGAATGTCCCGTTACTTGCTTTCCAGTGCCTATGCCCACGGACAACTGTCTCGGGAAGGTTATAAGGGTCACATGAGCTTAGCTTTTATTCGGAAAAATTTCTAAGCTCCTTGGTTTATTACTTGTAATTTTCTAGTTGGTTTATTTGGGTTTGCTTTTGTATGTCAGTAACCCCTTTTGTCTTGAGTTTGAATTCAATAAAGGGAGCTCGTCCTATTTCTCTATCTCGCATGGCTTGGTGAAACTTGGAATAGAGACGGATTAGATTGTGTTGGATTATCACACGTCAATCTATTTTAAATCTAATTATATCAAATAGATTTTAAATTAATTTATTTTAGTTTTCTTTAAAGTCAGTTTTAGTAATATATATATATATAAGGATAGATCCATTAAAACTGAATATAAATCTAAAAGACTTACATCAAATCAATTAGAACAAACCTCGGCAACCTAAATCGTCAAAATAAAGGGATAAGTCTTTATTTATTTTTCTATTAAGTAACGAGGTTCTAAACAGAGTCAATGCTTTTTCAAGCAAAGAGAAGATAAATGAAAAAATCACTCTAGATTCTACCTCTTGTTCAGTATTACAAATTGAACATATAACCTGAAACGAATTTTCAGCCACTACCTCTCTGTTACGTAAGCTCTCGAACCCTAATTGGCCCTCAAACAAATTTTGAAGTTTTATTTCCTTTTTCCCTATTTAGTTAACTAGAAAATTTTAGAGTTCAATTTTTGGGGGAGGGGAACTTTTGCAGGGGATTGGATAATTGGGTTTGTGAGGAAGAGGAAGAGGGTGGGGGAGCGGGAGGGGTGTGCAGCAGTGAAGAAAGGAAGGGAAATTAGAAGAGAAAGGATATATTTAGCGTCAGGATAACATGAGAGTCGTGTTAACATTTTTTTTACTTTCGCTTAAGCAAAATTTTTATTTGCTCAAGCAAAAATTAAAAAACATGCAAACATGATTATCATGTTCGAATCTAAATTCATATATTTAGAGATTTATTTATAATATTAATTTTAAATAAAAATAATAATAAATAATATGACATGCTGTGTGATTTTGTAGAAGTTTTAAATTTTAATAAATTTTTTAAAAAAATTTATTACAAAATGTTTAATATTTATAAAGACAAAAAATATAATTAAATCAAAAATTTATATTCTAATAAAATAAGGTATGTTACATATTATTTATAATGTTTATATGAGTTGTTTATAATTTTTATGAATTTAATACACGTGATTTAATTTTAGTAAGTTCTTTATCTTATTAATAAAAATTAATGAGTTTAATAAGTAAAAATCGAGTTTAATAATGGGTTTTAAATAGAAGGAATGATTATATTTTCCAATATAGTGATGTTAACCCAAATTGATATAGGGTAGAATCAAAATTTATAGGCAAATATTTAATTAAGAATAAAGCTAACACCATCCATGTTAATAAATTGTCATTGCCAAGCGATAAAAGTCATTGCAATGAATAAAACTTTCAATTGTAAAAATAGACATATAAGACTAAGGCATAATGTGGTAAAACAACTACTAAAAAATTGAATAATATTCATTAATTATGTAAAGTTAAAATGAATTTAGCTAATCTTTTAACTGATCTATAAGTAGAAAATTAATATATGAAACATCAATAGGAATAAAACTTTAGCCAATTTGAAATTAAAAATTATAGTAAAACAACTTATGTAATTGGAGATCCTATAAAAAAAAATTATGGATAAAAATAAGTCATTTGCTGATTTTATCAGCACTTATTCATTCCTGTAGTGTAAAAAAGTGTTAGATTGCATTATTGGGCAATGATTTTCGTATTCCTTATAAATGGTGGATGAAGTGGACTTGATGAGATCACCTACTTATATGTGAACGTTGAATGGAGTTGTTTGTATAAGATTTTGACACAATCTATTTAGAAAACTTATAAATTACCAAACATGTGCATGACTTATTAGTGCAAATAAGCATCAACAACCAAAAAATTGTAAGAATATAATGTGATTGATAAGACTTCTATTATATAACAATATGTTTAGGTTCATAAAAATTTACTTTACCATTATTCTTGTATATTATATTCTATCAATTAAAGTTTTATTTAAGTTTACAAACACTAAATTTAATGCATTTACTCTTACGTAAATAACCTATAATTCTTAATATTTACTTAAATATTTTTTAAATAATTTAGATTGTTATAAAAAAGTATTTAAAAATATATTAAATTAATTCTAAATTAATTTTCATCATCAATTGCTTACATTTTGAGTTAGTTAACAATGCAATTAATTTAATTGATTGTCACTGTACATCAATCCCATGTATTGATTTTCAATTGAATTATTGTTGGCTCTTTTTATTGGATATATTTAATTAAATTTTGTATCACATAGTTTTTATATTTATTTTTATTACCTTATAAACTTTTTACGTAGAAATATTTGTTTTTCTTTAACAAAAATTTTGAGTTTCTTGATATTTTTTTTGTTGTTTTTTTTTTTAAAAACACAGTTCTTTTCGATCTTATATTAAGTATTTTCTTCTCATTCTTTTTTTTTATACTTTACTTGTTTTAATGAAAAAGATTATATAAGGATGAAAAAGAAAATTTTTATTTGTTTCGATATTTTAATTTATATAAGTGAAAAAGAATATTTTATGTGGAATCTACTAAAAAGTTTTCTCCCACAAAATAGTAAAATTTTGTCTCAAAAAGGTGAAAAATAATTTTATTTTATTAATAATAATTAAAAGTTATGAATAAAAGTAACATCGACACCCAGAAAAGAAGCAGTAACATAGTGAATAAGTAACGATAGTATATGTTTATAATAAAAAAAATTAAACTATCTTACATAACTTAAATTTCGAAACACACATTTATAGATCATAACTTGAATTTTTGTCCTTTATTGTTGTAGAAAAATAAAGAAAAAATAATTAGCGTGAGACGTTAAGGTTTACAATAGAAATACAAATTTTGTTTTACAAAAATATTTAAATTTTTAATATAATAATTTTTCTTATATATATAATTCATTAAAATTCAGGTTGCACAAATAGCATTCTATGATTTTGCCTTTTCAAACAAGTACTGCATACTTTAGCTTTTCTAAAACCATTTATGTTCATAATATTTTTAATACATAAATAAAATTTAATAAAATAACAAATAATTCCAAAAGTATATTACAATTACAAAGACAAAATTTAATTTTAATTAATAAATAATACAAATAACATTTACAAAAGTACATTTAATTTTTGTCTTTTCTTACAACTTAAAAAAATAAAATAAAATTCTTCAAGCACGAACCACGAAATATCTTTTTTTTCCTGTTGTGAAACGCCGCCGTTTGCAAAGTTCTCTCGTGGGGCGCCAAAACCATTAGCCGAAATCACAGAAACCCCCTTCGCCCCATTGTCTCTCTCTCTCTCTCTCCTCAGCACAAACAAGACCTCACACACCACAAACATTCAACTTTTGAATCTTCGATAACTTCTCCCTTTTTCTGTGACTCCAATTTCGTTTGCGTTCTTTTCCCTTCAAACAATCAAAACCCTTTACCGAGGAAGAAAAAGGGGTGTTAGGGTTTTGATTCTCTGCGACGCTTTCCGCATTGGGGGAACCCTGCACCTTCCTCCGCGAGTCGTGCGCACTCACTCTCCCTTCTATTTTCTGCTCTCTTCCGCTGCAAAATTAGGGTTCGGGCTAATTGTTCTTGCGATTTCGTAACGTTTGAATCGGAGAAGATGTATGCTGATCGGGTGGACAGTGGAGCGAGGAGGTCCGTGAAGGAACGCCTTAATGGGAATGGTATCAGTGACTCTTCTCGGCAACAACGCCAAATCACCGGCAAGAGGTTTGCAATTCTTTCTCTTTCAATGTTATCATTACAATAATTTTGTGATTTTTTGAAAAAGTTGTTTTGGGTGTGGTTATTGTGCATTTAGCTGTTTGCTAATTTAATGTTTGATCTAATTATCAATTCTTTCAATGGTTGCATGGATATAGGTATGGTATCCGTGGGAAGAATTTTGATTCAATGTATGTAATTACATTATCAGTAATGCCATAAATGAACGACGTGATATTCTTAAAATTACTATGACTAGAAATGTTATTTCTAGTTTAATTCGAGGCCATGTTTGGTTAACGTTTAATATAGTCTTAGAGGGAAACATTAAAAAAGGAAGAGCTGGAGGGAGGAAGGGAATCAATCTCTTAAGTTAGGAATTATAGTCTTAGTGCAAGCCAGAAGTAGAACTTTGAAGTGGTTTTCTGTTCTTAGTGTAATCAAAATTCAAAAGGGATTTTCCTGTTGTAAGGAGCCAGTATCCCATGTTCTTTCTCAGTAATACAAGTTTCTATCAAATTGATATCTGAGTTCCTGATCTAGGGCAGTTGGTTCAATTGAGAAAGGATAGGAGGATTGAGGATTTGATGAGGAGGATGGAGTGGTTGAGCAGGAATTGGCTTAATAGACACTATCAGATGGAGTACATTCCGACCAAGTCTCTGTCTAAGCTAAGGTTTTTAGTATATAGACAAACTGGGTATCTGATCAATTTCAATTCATGCTTCAACCCTGAGTTAATGAGGCGGGTGTGTACTAGTTCTTATAGTTAATCAGTTAGTTATTTCTGTTCTATTTGTGTCGATTCTGTTGAAGTCTGTTACAACTAACCCACAATTCATTTTAGACAATTGGACTTCAACTTTTCTTAACTAATTAAATATGAGAACCTTATGTTGAATTCATTTGGTGAATAATAACACAATTAGACAATGTGTACTAGTTCTTTGCATGCTTCTCCCCACACTTTTTTCTGCCATTTTCTTTTACTTTCTTTTTGTTACCCAAACACAAAGTTAATAGAGACCGCAAGGGAGAGTACCAGCCTTATGAATAGCTGACTGCACCCAATACCTCTTCTCTACCTAGTTTCTCTGTTCCCTCTCTTCCACTCTTTGCTTGTAAGCAATTTCTCCAGCTGAACTCCCCTAATTCACTTCTCTCGCCTCTGCTGCCACATGTACTCTAGGAAGTTTTGAGAAATCTCCTATACCTATTCCTGTCCATCTCACCTTGCTCACATGATTCATAAATGTACCGCCATTCTCTCTAATTTTTCTCTCATAGACTTTAATAATATGTATGTGGGTATCTATCATTAATCCGTTGAAAATTATATATTTCTGGTCAAGTGATGCTGCAGTGCAGATGATGGGATGACAGAGTTGCAAAATATTTGGTGAATTGGTTTGTTTTACCATCGCTGCTCTGAAGTATTATTAGATTTCATTCATGCAATGAGTATATTTTGGATTTATGTTGCTTTTTCATGTAGACATGTTTGTAGGCTTTGCTAGAAACACTTTCAACCTTGGTTAATTTGTGCATAAAAAAATTGGGCACAGATAGGTTAGTCATTTGATGCTGCAGTGCAGATGATGGGATGACAGAGTTGCAAAATATTTGGTGAATTGGTTTGTTTTACCATCACTGCTCTGAAGTATTATTAGATTTCATTCATGCAATGAGTATATTTTGGGTTTATGTTGCTTTTTCATGTAGACATGTTTGTAGGCTTTGCTTGAAACACTTTCAACCTTGGTTAATTTGTGCATAAAAAAATTGGGCACAGATAGGTTAGTCATTTGTGGTGGGCTTTCTTTTGTGATTACTTTCTTATGTATATATGCACAGGATGAAGAAATTATTTCGTTGTTTACCTTGATCATTCTGCAAATATCAGTTACTTGAATTAGTTCATTCACCAAGTTTTACTCTTCGAATAGGATAAGGGAATGCTGTTAATATCTTCTGTTGCATAGAGTTCAAACTTTGAATAAACTAAAGATGCTTTTGTGTCTTCATTTAGCAATTTTGGGGTTGGCCACTCTGCGTTGCTATCTGAGATTGAATGATATATTATCATGGTGAATAGTGATTACAATTGCTAGACACATTGTGAGGAACTGCCTTTCCAGTCTGCATGATTGGGAATGCATATAAGCTTCAGTTACTATGCACCTCTAATGTAGCAAATTCATCTAGGATGATTGAATGCTTATTAAAACAAAACTTTACAATATATTTAAAGTCATTTTTTTTCTTATTTTAATTGCAGGTTGAGACAAGATGACAAGTGGGAACATGATCTCTTTGATGATGATGAACCTCGGATCACTAGTATGGATTGATTTTGTTATTGTCATATACAAGTATAAGTTGCCACTATTGTTGGATTTCAATAGTTTTTTCTTATGGGTTTTGACTGTTTCTTAATGACTTGTGATTGTGAAGATCGCAAAGTTACTGCTCAAGATCTTCGCCTCAAGCTTCAAAGGAAAGGTCTTCAACCTGCAACTCAGAGTGGAAAGAGTTCAGCTCCAAACACACGGGATCTCCGTGAAAGGCTATCTGGGACAATGACTCCACAACCTACAAATTCTGATCCACCAAAGTCAAAAGTGGTTGTTAAACCAAGCAGTAAAAATGTCAGTGTTGAGGCCCCTGCAGTACAGATCAAAAGGCCAGCTAATTCTGCTCCTAAAAAGTTGTCACGGAAGGTATGATTGTTGTGATATTTATATTTTTAGTCAATGAGAACTTTTCTGTTTATTTCATCAGTGGCATCAGTCTTAGTTTATGTCTGTATAATGGGGACATCTGTCAAATATATGTTTGCATGTAATGGAGACTTGTATGTGCTGCTTGGTACAGTTATTGCTGGTGGGCTGTAATATTGCTAAGGACGACATTTGTTTTAGTAATGGCCGTATTTGTATTTTTCTAGTGGAGGAAGGTGAAAGGAAATCGAGCATTGATTTAGTATTCAATCCACAAATTCTACATTTTAAGGCATATACAATATAACTGTAGATCTTGTTCTTATAGTAGTGGATATGGATAGTTCTCTTCAAATTTACCATAACATAATAGTAGTTTCTAATGTTCTTATTGGTGGCCATTTTTGCATTCAATCTGCTATATTTTTGAGTTTTTTATTTTTGTAAATTAGTGTTTTATGATAAGTGAATGTAAATTTTCTCATTTATGTTCACAATAGGCAAAAGTAAATCAATTGTTTCCAAATTTCTTTACTAAATAAAGGAAAATTAAAGGGATATAAACTCTGGTTTTTGTTTTGCAGGCTGATATATCAGTGGATGAATTTTTGCAGTCTTTGGGTCTCGAAAAGTATGTCATAACTTTTCAGGCTGAAGAAGTATGTCATACATCTTAACTTCTTCTGCCATTAGCGAAAGTCCTTTGTCTTAACTGGGTTTTAATTTGATTATCAAGAGCTAATATTGTAGGTAAAAGCTGTTTTTTCAGGTTGATATGGCAGCTCTCACTCATATGACTGATGAAGATCTCAAGGTTATGGGCATACCAATGGTACGCTCTGAACTTGTTTTGAACATGTTTTTTCCTGTTTTTCTGTTTTCCTCAGCAATACTTTGCAGTTTCATTGGTAATGTGACTCATTCAATGTGGAAATGCCTTTAACTTGAAATGTGCCTCATACTCCGTGTCTCAAGGACCTTTGGCATCTTAAATCGTCCCCCTTTTTGTGAATGTGCAATAAGATTGAGTGATTTGACTTGCATATGATGTATAGCAGGTGGCTGTTTTAGAGAGTTGCTCAGTTATGTGTTGAGAGATTTGAGTCATTTCAGATTTTATAGATTTGTACAGCAATTATGCAAAATTCTACAATCCTATGATTTTATTTCTTCAAAAAGAAAACTTACTCAATCAAATGGCCTCATGTAAGCTAATACTTGTTTGCATATTCAAATAAGTTCCAGAGGTTGGTCAAAAATAGTTACAAGCTAAAGTGGTGTTAGGGTTCAAGAAGGATGTCTTCACTAGACTTCGCCCAAAACAACATTTCTTTTTCCTATCCATAGAATCTTATTTTAAATTCTAAAAGTGAGGGGGTTAGGAGTTGTAATGAGTAATGTCTAAGAAGGGTTGAATCCCTAGAAACAATTGGCTGCCGATTGATTGCTTTCAAAAATCATTTTTTAAAATCTGAAGTTCCTGCGCACGATGATCCCCTTAATGAGCTGTTTTTGAGGTTTTGTTAACGATTTGAACATCAAGCATATGAAGGAGACCTTGCAGCTAAGAAGCCCTTGATTTTCCGCAATCATTAATCTCTATATTAATCCTGTTCCAAGGACAAGCGTTCAAAACCAGAATTATTATTCAGGGAGTGTATCCTCATGTTCTATATCTCATTCTCCAATTATACTCCTGGTCTATCCCTTTCTCTTGGCAAATGAGTATCTTCTATGAATGAATTTTCAGGTGGTAAAATTAACCAAGGGGTGAGCATTCTTATCTTACCAATGCATAATCTTTTGGCCTGGATATAAAAGGGACAATTGAAGACTCCCCCTCCCCTCCTTAAGCCTAGGATTGAATATCTAGTGCGTGAAGTTTACAAGATTGGACATTTGCGAGTGACTCAACAGTGAGATTTGACAAGTTCTGATATTATATTAAAAAGTGGACTGCTCAAGGTGGTGGTTTTCGCTCAAACCTCCACAACCATGGTGATAAATGGAAGATTCAGGATGGCAGCGCCATAGTGGCTGTTAGGCTCCTAGTGGCCATGGCGGAAAACATGAGTTTTCAAGGAAAAAATGAAATGGGCCTTTGACCCCACCCAGTCCAAAGAGACCCGCAAATACCCAAATCCTAAAAAAATGTCTTCTCCGTTTTCTCCCTCTCGCAAGTTGCGACTTACATCTCTACTGCCCCACCATAGTGCGTTGTTGACCTGGTGTTGCCATGACTACTGTTTGACAACACTGTCTCTTGAGTGGATGGGTTTCTGTTTAATAAAAATTGTGAAGATGCTTTTGCTGATCTTAAAGAGACTATCTAAATCAGTTTCTGACCATTCCCCCATTGTTTTGAAGTCATGTTAGGTTAAGTGGGGTTCCACTTGGGTTTGAAAATAGGTGGATAGACCATCTTTTGTTTTTTCCTTTGGTTAATGAGGTCCAGAATTTTACAGTTTCTGAAGGTTCTTGGGAAGTATTCAAATTTATGAAGAAGCTTTCACTTCTTAACAATGTTATCAATGACAAATGGTGGGTCATGGCGGAAAGCAAAAAATTTGCCATAAAATCATGGCGGATGCCATGGCAGGTTATGGCGGCAGCATGAAGGTTTTGAGAAAAAAAAAATATAAAATGGTTGTAAAATAGTGAAAAATGCTGAAGTTATAACAGAAAGGTAGAGAATTAAAAATAAATAAGGAAACTTGGAAGTGAAAACAGAAAAATAGAATCAAGAAAACAAAATAATAAGGAAAAATGAAAAATATGGGGGAGTAAAACAGAATGGGAGAGGGAAAAACAGGATTGAGAAAAAGTAGATTAGGAGAGGGAAAAGCTAAAAAAGAGGGACAGAGCTCATAGAAGCAAAATGGAAAATAGATGCCGAAAAATGGGGCTTCCACTCACAGTTGCCGGAAAACAGCCGGAAATGATGTCATCTTGAGCAAAAATGGTGAAGGAGAAATTGGCTTTAGAGAAGAAGGGAAAAAAACAGAGTAGAGAGAACGCTAAAAATTTTACCACTCAAGAAGAGAAGTAAAAAATTTTAAGTGGACAAAAGTCCATTTTGCCCTTAAAAAACCCTAAAAAACACTATAGCAAGGGCAAGATTGGACTAATTCCGTAATTACAGTCGCATATGGTATGGCTGGATTCAGCCCATCTCTCCTAATCCAGACAAAAGGATTTGGTCTCTTGACATGTCATGCTTATTATTTTCTTGTAAATTCTATTTTGTCTCACCTCATTTCCCAGTAATGATTCAATCCTTTTAGATTAAGTCATTTAGAAATCAATTACTCCCTCTAAGGTCAAATCCTTTGTGTGGGCTTCAGTTCTGAACAGGATTACTACAAATTATTTACTTCAAATTTGAATACCTATAACTGCTTCGTCTCCTTATTAGTGTGCCATGTGCAGACTGAGTTCTGAAAGTTGTTCTTATTTTTTGCATTGCTTAGCAATTTCCCTGTTATGGAACAACGGTTTGGTGTTTTTCATCAACATTTGGTTTGCCTCAAGGATTCCTGTATGTTTATTTTAGAGGATTTGGCGTCAGTAGAGATTCTAATAAGGCTTTGGTGTCGCTATCAATTCCTAGTTATCTGGTCTGTCTAGTTGGAAAGTAGTGATAGAACTTTTGTTGGTCATCAGTCACCTTGAGTTCATTTAGCATTGAATAATTCTTGTCACATTTTTTTTGTGTTGTACTAATGGCATTTCTAGAGGCGTATCCTTCTTAGCTGCATTGCGTGCTACTTGCTCCTAGTTTTTGTATTTTTTCTGCATTTCTGACAGTTCTTGAAGATGTCTTTGTCTTGTATGTCTTCTACTTTAATTATTTGTATGTAATACTAAATAAAAAAATTACTAAGACAAAGTTTTAACCTTTGTCTAACCCTACGAAGTATTTGTTCAAAGTCCCAGACCTGAAATGCTTGAAGTTCGCATATTTTGGTTGTAATGAGATTGACACCCTATGAAAATCAGAAAATTGGAAATTTTTTTGTCAACAAGTCACAGTTGCACCTTCAAAACTCATGGTTTGTTGCACAAATTAAAGTTGACTGTGATTTCACTTCACTCGTCTTGTCTATGTACAGTGTAGCTATTGTGATTTGTATCTCCTGAGACTTTTAGTGATGTCACGTTTTGTCTATATTACGTTAAAAGGGGTTTTGGGTCCTTCATTTGTAGGAGTTTCAGACAAGGCCATTTTTTTATGTTTCTATGGTAATTATTTGACTAATATCTTGGTGTTATAACTGCATTTGACTCTACTCTACCTCTGTCACTTATGCTCTTACCTTCGATTTGAAAAATCCATTCAGTAATACACTTTTTTAGTTATAACACATTCTGGTTATGCTTTATTCGTTCCAGGGGCCGAGAAAGAAGATACTTTTAGCATTGGAGTCAAAAGTCTGACAGTATGGAATTGATTAATATGCTTAGCTTAGCTGGATGGACTTGTTGTTTATGAACGGTGGTGGGAGATCAGAATCTCAAAACCAAGTGTAATAGCAATAGCTCTTCTGATTAGCTTCTTTTTTCATTTATTTTTCTTTATTTTTCCTTAATTTTTAGACATGATTCAAGTTAGTTTTGGAGTTTATTTGGCTAAACCTGTCAATCTTCTGGAGCTCGTAACTGTACCTAGTAATTAATGGATTTGAGAGTTTATCTTTTGTGTATCAATCCAAGGTTAGGACACGGTGGAAATTACCCCATTTTGCAAATTGTCAAGAGCATCTGGTGTATGCTACAAGCGCAACTGGAGTAATGCTAGCAGAGAAGTCAACACCCTCCCTGAGTTTGGTACGAAAATGCAAATTCAAGCATCGATTAACCAATTTGTTGCAAGTTATAAAAACCATTTGCTAGTTCGTTTCAAGAGATTTTAAGTGAAATGACTACGGTAATAACTCGTATAGGATTCCTGGAACGGTCATTTGTGAGTCTCTTTTGATGGATAATAAGCTAGTCCATTCTTGCATTTCTCCTTGCTAATTGGAAGCGACATTTTGCTTCAAAGTTGGCATTGCGGGAGACCATACCCCCTATGAATCAATTACCCGAAAGCAACTTAAAATTTTGCCGTTCAATCTCAATATTGTCAGCATATTCCTAATATATTTTTAATCCGCTGATGTGATGTATGCTTATAATTTTTTGTTTAGATAAATAATTCAACATGGTACTCCAAAGATTAAGGTGTCAACAGCCTTTTTAACGTTTTTACATCAATTCATTTTGCAGAAGTTGAAGTGTTATGATGTTGACTTTATAATTTTTATACTATATTAGTCTTTTCAAGATATGAAATTTAGTGACAATTTGGTATATTTGAGGGATTAAGTGAAATAAACTATAGATGATGATACAGTGACATTTAATACTTATGAGATAAATTTGGTGATGAAATAATATAAGACGAATTATGTTGTACTTCAATAAATGATAAGTGATATGGTGTCACGCTTTTTAAAAGACTATTTAATGTTTGAACTAATATAAACAGCTAATTTCATCTTTATTTTTATTACAACCAAAGAAATTAGCATATTTTAATGACGAAAGGAGAGTAGTTTTAGTTTAAACTAAATAAATATAAAATATTACAAGATGTAATTGAATAGTTAAAAATAGATGTTACGTGGAGTTTTTCAATGTAAGTCAAGAGCACAGTACAAAATGAACTTATGATTTGTTTTTGAGATTTTCTAGATGAGAGGATGGTCGGTGATTTTAATCTTTTGCAGTTTTTTAAAATCTTAATTCAGTCTTCGATATTTTTAAAGGATGTGAAAAAGAAATAAAGTGAATGACTCTGCAAGATAAAGACTAAAGGAGAATTTGAAAATTTCAAGGAGTAAAAGTCTAGGCCTAAAGAGTGTGGTATGAGAGAGAGATAGAAAGAGAGAAGGGGGTTGGCTAAGGGATAGTTTAACTTATCACTAGGTGAGCTTAGAAAAAGAAAAAGAAAAGTATTTTTTATTTAAATCCGAATAAACTTTTTTAATTTTTAAAAATATAATTTTGGGTATTTTCTTTAATTTTATGAGAAATTTATTTAGATTCACAATAAGGACAAAAAAAGAGAGAGAAAATAAATAACATGCATAGAATTAAATTAAATAATTTTATTTTAATGTAAAAAGTGATTGTACTTGTTAAAGGGCTCTTAAAATTAAAGGGTATTAAATACTTTCTATATTATATTAAGATATTAAAAAATATTTATATATTTTTTAAAATAAATCACTAATTTCATTATTAAAATTAATTGTCATAATTATTAAATGTATAATGTGACACGGACAAGGAGCAGCTACCTGGTAGGCTTCCAGTGGTAAGGGACACATGAATGAATCAAACTTACATCGGAATAAGAGGGGGATCCCGAGACTGTGTATACAATTAATGATAGCTTAAAGGAATTGATTAGGACTACCTATACCAAAAAAATGCATTTACTTTTCGGTGGCCTATCACTTAAAAATTTCAAAGTTAAGCGTGCTTAACTTAGAGTAATTATGGGATTGGTGACCTGTTCGGAGGGCAAGTGTACCCATCAAGAAGTAATAAAGGATTCTTAAGTTAAGTTCCCGAAATATCGTCTCACAAGGATTGTTTTCCAATTACTAAGAATTTCCTAATTTAATTGTTTAAGCTTCAAAGATACGAAATTAATTAAAAACAAGAATTTATAAAATCAATTATAAAACTAAGAGTAAGAAATACAATGCACGTCTTGGTTAAACTTATCGGAGAGGAACCTAGGGCATATGAGTTTTCTCATTCAATCCTTTATGTTATGTTTCTGTTTAACTCTAAATCCTATTTCCTTGTGATTACTAATCATTCATACAAATACTATTAATACCCAATGGTCGTGCAATATTAATATTCTTTTCTCTAAATTAACATCCCCAATGGTCATACAAGACATCAATTTAAGAAAGCTTAAGGAACCTATGAACTTGTTAATTTAATAACGATTAGAAGAGAAAGATTCGTTTGGTCCACCTAATCCTTTGTCTCATTTTACCCTATAAATATATTAATTAACCGAGGTACAGTCGTCTGACGATATAATTAATTAGGATTAAGAAAGAAGCGCAATAGGATAAAATCTAATCACATAACGGAAATCAAATTAAGATTCAAACATCAAAATCTCATAAATTCATAAACAATAGTTCCATAACCCTAGCTATGGACTTAGTTACTCATGTTAAAGAAAATAACTAAAACATTCATGAATAAAGCCATAAAGAAAAGAAATAGAAAAACTAGAGTGTGATGAGTTCCCAGTCTTCAAGTACGGTCGCTTGAAGCTCCAAGTCTCGCTAAGCATGTGCCAAGGATCCCGTGCAAGAGAGACGAGATGAAAGATGTATTCCAGAGCAAAAGCCAAGATGTCAAAAAATGGTATATCCAAGATGCCTCTCACGATGCCTTCGGTCTTCCTTTTAATTTGAAAACCCTAAAAATTCTAATTAATTGGGCTTCCCGCAGATGAGCACGATCTTGCAAGGCTTTAAGCACGACCGTGCATGGGCTCGAAGCACCCCCGTGCTTATTGAATGGTATGGGCGTGCTGACTGCTGCGAAGCTCTAATCTTCCATCAATTTGGGCCCAAAATGCACCTAAAATCTACTTGCGGCCTCTTTATACCAAACTGTACAATTAATATACAAATTAGTGTAAAACCCAAATAAAATAAAAGTCAAATATGAATATATGGGTTGTAAAAGAGGGTCTAATTACAGACTTATCATGACCTTCTGGGAAGTTTTCAGGAAGTGTGCGAGTGAAGACAAAATACAATGAAAAGTCTCGTGTTGGTTTGTAGGGTAAGTTGTTTATCAAAAGTTACATGTATAGGTAACTATTGTTATTAGAACAAACTCATTTGAAGTCATTGATTTTCAAAATTTTTAATAATAACATATCATTTATGTATTGATTATTTACTTAATTAAATATATGTTTGTAAAGATTTGATAAACAATACTAAAAGATAAAAATTTATTAATAAAAAGTATTATAATATTTTTATAAAGATGAAAAATTATATAAAAATTGTATAAAAAATTGGTTAAAGAACTCACTAAAGGATGTTATGAACAAACCTTTAAAAGAATTTTTATTAAAAAAAAAAAAGCTTTTATCATATTTGAACAAAGTTTTAGATATCAAATCCAAATTCATTCAAAATATTAACAAAACCATCCTCAATTAAAAGTATAAGGGCAACCAATCAGCTTATTAAAAGAAAAAGTGTTGTATTATAAAATGAGACATTAGCAATAGAGAGAATAAAAAAAAAAAAAATCCTCTAAAAACATATTTGTCTCATAATTTCATGTCACAACATGTCCAAACATTAACATGGATTAGAACATTATCATGTTGAGTCTCAATGTTCACTTTTTCATAAAGACATATAAATAAAATGGAGCTATAAAGAAAAAAGTACTAAACTTTCTAGAAGATAAATCATTGCTTCTAGCCTCTCTAAACTTTCATATTTACTGGAGGAAGCACTTTGTTTAGATTTAGAGTTTTTGAATAGTTATCTCTAATTCTCTTCATTTAATATTTTCAAGTAGCATTAGTTATCAATTTTTGTTTTCTTGAAAGATAAAGTTTAAAGATATCATTTTTATAATTTTATGACACTAATACATCACACATGTTAATATTTAGTAATCTTATAAAATCTAGTTAAGTCAAAATTATTCATTTTACTATGCATATACATTGGTGCATGCTATTTACATGTTATAAAGTGTTAGTTGAGGATTCAAAAGAAGTTAATGTTAAACTTGAGTTATGAAAGAAAACTTTAGAATTTAAAAGTTTTCGATTGAGTAGAAGTAAGACAAAGTACATACATTGTATGTTTAGCAAAAGACAAGATGAAGATCATGTGTTGAAAGTTAAAATTGAAGATGATATTATACTGAAAGTTTCAAATTTTAGGCACTTAGAATTGATTATACAAAATGATGGAAAAAATTAATAAAGATGTTAGTTCAAAGAATACAAGATAGGTGGTTAAAATGGAGAAAGATATTAAGAGTTATTTGTGATAGTAAATAACTATAAACCTTAAAAGAAAAAGTTATACCATACTGCAATACAACCAACTATCCTATTTGGTAGTGAATGTTGAGCCTTAATGAACAACATGAGAAAAAAAGTGAGTGTAAAAATTGAGAATGTTAAGGTGAATGAGTGGACACATGAAATAAAATAGAATACAAAATAATAGTATACAAGAGAATATCAAATTAACACCAATAGTAAAAAAAATAATTGAAAATCGTTTAAGGTGGTCTGATCATGTGCACAAAAGACCTTTAGAGGCGTTAGTAAGGAGAGTAGATTGCATAACTGAGTTCAACATAAAGGGATCGAGAGAAAGCCAAAAGAATCTTAAACGAAATTATTAAAATAGATTTTTTTTAGTAAAATTTGATTTTTGACTGAACTTAAAACGTCATTTGATTCATGTAACGGACCTCATTTAATAAGATAAAATTTAATTGTTGTTGTATATACTTGTTAAAATTAGAAATAGCTACCAAATAAAAGAATAAATTCCATTTTGAGTAAAGATAAAAAAATAAAGATAAATTGGGAAGTTAAATCAATAATAAAATAAGTTCAATTCATCCCTTACATATAAACACTTAACACTATGCTTGACGAAGAAGTTATACATCAAATTTTTAAGAGGAAATGTTTTTGTCTTGGGCTATCCACTTTCCAAACCAATTTTAGACTAGTGGTCACTGAAACTTAATTAGGAATACTTAAAACGCCAAAGAAAGGATTTGCCATCGCAGAATGTAAGAGAAAACCAGCTGAATTTAGCAGTGACGTGTCAACTTTTTCATGAGGAAGACACAAGAAGTCACCCATTCTCTCAAAACCACAGAGCTCAAGAAACTCTACACCTCCATTTAAACTTCCAACTCTATCCTGTTAAAAAAAAATATAGAAAAAACATATCTATCAGGTTCATGTAACACTCTTGAATTTTGATGCTTCTTGATACTGAATAGAAAAGAGTGTAGCCAACAAAAACTCAATTATATATAAATTTTGATATCCTTAAAAACATATCTGCTCTTTAGATACAAAATGTACATTCAATAAACTTGGAAATCCTAGAATAATTTTAGCATGAAATTTAGAATATATAAATCTGGTTTGTGAAGTATCCTACAATAATAACAAAAAAATTATGATGTACTCACCTTAATGAGATTGGTGCATTTCTCAAAATATCAGTGATTAAAAATAAGGAAAAAAAATTGCAAACACCAATTCAATTAAAATGAGTCCAATGCTGGAGAGTGAATCACCAAGTGAAGGACTTTGCTATGTCCAACAAATTCTGAGAATGAATCTTCAAAAGTGTATCTAATTTATCTAAAAGCTTTGACTGTTCTATCTAAAATTGTTGCTTAATATACATGATTAAACAAAATGAACCTACAACTCCCCAACAAAATTGTTTTGTCTTGAAAAATGTTTTACCTGAAATAATGGGTTGCTCAATCGGATCTTTCGATACTTCTCCTCCTGGGGATTTTTGGCAACATTTCCAACATACACTAGAAGTGTTTCAAAGGCCCTTCTGACTCTGGCATGTTCACTCTATATAGAATTTTAAATTTTTTATATAGTAAATATTTGATGAAATAAAAAAGAAAAGCTAATAATGATAGTAACACATCATCATTGGAAAAGTAACCATTAATTTTGTGGTTTTGATTCATTTTAGCCTTAGGGTTGAGTTTAATTAAGCATCCATAAATAATAAATTTTATAGAATAAAATACATTCATTATATTAAAGTTAAAAAAGTGTAATAAATACTTTTCTTTAATAAAATTTACTTAGTTGTTTAAACACAATCCTAAAAGATGAGGTTAATATTATCCTAATTTTATTAACTTAGGAAGGAAAATAAAATATGGTCTTAGACTTCCTGCCATAATTTCAAGTGATGTTTTCAGAATGTGTTGATTACACATCAATTATCCATTGCTATGATCAAATGTAGTGAACTTATAAAACATACACAAAGACCATAAGGCCATGAGTTAATTTTGAATGTAAAGCATGCACATGAGCCAAGATCCATATCAAACATAAAGACTTTCCAATTCTTGTTTTAGATCAAAGACTAGTAAAATGTGTTGAAGTAAAGAAGATATAAAGTGTTTCACCGGGTGGTTACGCTTGAGATTCCTTAGACATTCTCTCAAGTGCTCAACTTGCGCAGTGGTATAAGCAGGCTTTGGCTTCTGCAAGTTGCATTAAGGTAAATATATATGATCCAAGAGTAGGGTAAGAGGGTGATTGCAAAAATTAAATTAGTTATCAGATTGGGAAATTTCAAGTAACTATAAAATTCGTATATAGTAAAGAAAAATATTATAATTTTATCAAAAATTATAAATTTTTTTGAGCTCTTTTCCTAATTTAACGTGTGTCACTCATAGTTTATAAGAAATTTTAACCAATAAAAGAAAATATGTTAAAAAGAGTGTATAAGAGAAAAATGTGTTGTTAACTTTACTGGTAATAAAATAAATTTTAATGATACCTTTTCTTGTGTTCCAATAGCAGATGATCTCACAGTAGCCAGGCCTTCCAAAGGCAATCCTTGTTTATGCCTTCTATTTAACTGTAAAGTTATAAAAGTATGGAGGCATTTTAATATTCTGGAGTGCCATGAGGATATACTTAGAGGATCATTTACTGCCAAGCATTTAAGGCAAGAGGTTCAGGAAAACAATACTGGAAGTATTGAGTTATTTTCCATCTTGTCATAAAATATAGATATTAAAGTTCTTGTATTACGATGTTGCACGATATTTTTGTTTTATTAATCTTTTATTAAATACTTTTCTATGTTATTTTATCTTTTGTATTATAACCCTTTCAACTTTTTTTTGTATAATTTTATGATAATTTTTAATATTCAAAAAAGAATATAAAAATACAACAATTTTAATAAAGTATAAATTTTTTATTATGTATACATTAGATAGAGAAAAAACATATATTAATATATAAGCCTTAACATCATAAGAAAATTATTTATTTTGATAGTATTTTATTTAAATGAAATTTTAACATTGATTTTAGAAGAAAAAAAAAATAAAAAAATTTACCTTTAAACTTTTTAATTTTATTTATATAAGATTAAAAATTATAAAAAAAAATAGATTTGATATTTTTTACTAGACAACAATACTTAGAGTACATATTGAGTCAATTCTTTTATCAACGCAAGTAAAGATAATTTCTTTTATCAAATCAATTATTATATGCATTATGTTTATGGAAACAATAAGTTTTTAAATATAACTAAAAAAATACGACTGATTCAACAACAGCATACAAAAATAAGTTTATAAATTAAAGACTTTAACTTTTTTTTAAGTCCTTCAAGAATTATACTTAAAATAGAACTAGTCCTTCAAACATAAAAAATATAAAAATAATTTTATACTAATTTATAATTTAGTAGGTAATGATTTGTTTAACGTTATTTGAGAGGCTTTTTAAATATCATAAATTGTTTAATATTTAAATTAACATTGAATAAAATTTTTAACGCTGAACATTTTTTAATTCTTTAAAGTAATTTATAATAATTTATCTACTAAAATAACTTAAGATGATAAAAAATTACTTAATATTATCGTTTATTTCATACTATACACCATTCCCTTTCTTCATATGCTTTGATAAATACTTGTAATTAAGAAAAGATACATCATCGCACACAACATGAAAAGCTTTAACCCAACATGCTTACACCTATGGAAGAGAAATGTGATCAAATCTACGGTAAACAACATCACAATACAGCAATTGAATACAAACCTTAACACTATCCCTGAGTCCCTCTCTCCAATATTATTCATATTAATGTATGCTTCTCCTTCATCACTCGTACCTCAAACAATTTCTTTGATTGCATAATTATAACCCAATTACAAATATAGAACACTACAGTTATATTCATCATCAACCAGATTGTACCATTTTATTTTTTAAGAAAACAGAAAACCAGTTGTTAGTCCTCCAAAATCAATAGACATCAATTTTTAAACTGCATAACATTTATTTCTTTTTTTTTTATTCTGTACTTCAAACAACAAACTATTTTTACAAGACATCTTATTTGCATTGAGTGTATATGGGGAAATAACACAGATTGATATTTATAAAATCTCCCTGAAATCAAAGCAAGTACAAGGCACTACCTTTTTCTAGTGTATTTTAACTATCATTTAGTATGTAATATTAACACTATTTAAACAAATTTTAGCTTCCACATAATGTTACAGTAGAATTCAGGGAATGCAGCAGAGATTCTAAATATTATGAAAAGCAATTTGTCAAACACAACACAGCATCAAAAGTGGTGATCCAAACCACCCTTTTACAGTGATTATTAGAGAAATTAGTTCTCTACCTTATCTTGCTCAAGTTTTTGGAGGACTTTCTCTCTAGCTCTTTTCTCTTCTTCTTTCTCTGCTTTTCTCAAGGCTAAATTCCTGATTACAGGATATGACTTTTGTAAGTCGAAATGACTAATTTCCTCATAGAAATAGAAAGGAAGCAACTATTGAAAATCAAAATACCGATTTCTTTCATTTTCTTCGGCAATTCGCTTTGCCTCAAGGAGTTTCTTACCAGCTTGAATCCTCTCCTGCATTCAAATTAATAGAAAGGTTATAAAAATCAATGCTGGCATATCAAAGTATATAACTGCTAGAGATAAAAAGGAAACAATGAAAATCTAAACTACCTTTATTATTACAGAAAACCAACCAGTTCTAGTGGCTAGAAACTCTTTTTAAGATATACTATTAGCTCACACAAACTGAAGTTAAGTTATTGAAGGATTTATATCAATCAGCAACATAACCTGATATTTATAGGGTTAATCGATATTTATAGGGTTAATCGTCAAGAGGGTGAAGGTTGATTGACTCGTTGTTATTGATAGAATTCATCGTCCTTAGTATGGGACAATTTCATCACATGAATTGCCATTTACCAATTGTGACTCTATGTTTATTGACTGTACGCAAAATATTGTATTGCATATATTTTTGTTTTGTTCTAAGAAATTATGTCTATTGCAATATGGATCATGCTTTTATTGAAAACTATTAGAAAATGCTAGAACAGAGAAGAAAAATGTTTCCAGTAAAAAAAATGATTACAAAATGATTATTTTTGAATTATCAAATGAGGATATGGTATTGCCTAGATCGTTTGTTGAGGATCATTGATTAAAACCGTTCAGAAATCCTCGAAAGACTTCAAGAAGTTATTGTCCATTTCATCATTGAAGACTAAAATATATTGCAGGACAAGCCAAAAAAAGAAAAGGAGCTAGTTGCTACACGTGGAGAAAATGGAATTACAAATTCAACATGCAGTCTCATTGCAAAGGAAACCGAAAGTCCTAAAATCTCCAAGGCCTACAAAGCGCCATTTGCTGAAAAACATACGAACAGAAGGACAGGTATCTATTAAGCTTATGGAAAACTCGAGCCAACCATGCTGCTCAATTCAGATAAAGGAAATGTTACAACTAACCCGTTACTAGCAATGCCAACCTAGTCGAGATAGACTAATTGTGGCAATTGTTTCTAAGACCAATCTTGTGGTGGAGTAGAAATCTTGGATCTTACAATGGTAATTCGAAGTATATTTGTGCCAACAAAAATGTCTTTACTTTCTACAATGTCAAGGGCACAGGGAAGAAAAAGATGTTTATTCTTAAGCAACTCTATAGCAGCCAGTGTTCTGAAATTGAAATAAATGATTCTCTTGGCCCAGAATCGAAAAAATAAATGGGAAAGTCCACTTTTTGATTGACGTTTTCTGTGCCTGACATTTGCTACCATTTGGTATTGTATTTTGGCAAAGCGGATAGAAAGGTGTCATAGTGGCGGTTAGTTTTTGTTGAATGTGTTAAAAACTAAATGGAAACTAGAATGTAAGAGGATGAGTATATAGACTATGAATTCATAGCTCATGAATGGTGTGAATGACTAAAATCACATTTGATAGATTCACTTACGAGTTGAGGTGGGATGCGTCTATGAGAGCCTAAGCAAACTCTCCAAAGCACGCATAAAATCCAGGTAAAGGTGAAAGCCCAAAGTACTCTTAACCTCACTGCATTGGATGCCTTAGTTGCAGCAAAATATTATTAAGCTCAATGCATTGCATGCCTAACATAAGCCTACTTTATTTCTTATTACATCTTTAATTTCTACCCATTGTATATAATTTTTTATCAACCAAATTTCCGAAAATTTAGTTTTTGATAGAGATGAATAGCTATGTAATCTATTTAACCGACTTCACCTAGTGGAATAAGGCTTGGTTGTTGTTTATAATTTTTATAACATGAACCAATTGGGTAGAACTAGTGCTGTAAAGTTGCTTTCATCTTCACTCATATATGGAAACTTTTTAGGAAACAAAAGGTGAATACATAGCTTGTTGCCACATGCATATCACATATAATGATAATTTTATGGTTATATATCTGTTGTACATCTAAGTTTCGACAGATATTGCACTGTTTTGTGAGAATTAAGCATCTTAAGAAGGGGAATTCTATATGCTTCATGGTTTTGTCGGAGAAAAACTGCAAAAGCTATAAAACTGTAGATTCCTTTTCTTTTGGTAAAATAAATGTTTCATGTTCTGTTAAGACGTAGCAAGGAAGGGAAGTAAAAAGAATAGATATTCATGTTATTAAGTTTGGAGCATAAGCGAATGCTAGGCTAGAAAGAAAGAGTGGGAGGTGGGAATGCTGTTTGGGAAGGGAAGAATAAGTTGTGTAAGGTAGGCATGAATTGAATGGAAAGGCAATGAGTTATGACAAGTAGTTCCGCACATCTGCAGAATTTGACTTTATCTTTTAAATTTTGCAATTTTCTACTCTTGTAAGGAGCTAATCTCCATTGTTTTTATTGGTCTATTACATACTTATCCTGCATAAACCAGGACTTTGGAAATTACACTTTTTTATTTACATTTGCTTCTATATTTGAAATATCTCTCCAATTCAATGTATAGGGTAGAAAGCAAAAGCAAGAGATATACAATTATTATTTATGAAGAAGTTATTAAATTAACGCACCTTCTCCCTTTCTCTCTCCTGTCTTTTTTCTTCTTCCTGTCTCCTCTTACGCTCTTGTTCTCTGCAAAAGTGAAATATTAATGAAAAAAGGAAGTGAACAGAAGATATGGGAAAATATTTGCCAGAATCTTCAGATTAAGGCATCATATGAAATATTTATTATCATTAGTTTCAACATTTATTCGACAACTTCAACATGATAATAAGAAACAAATGCTCACATAATACACAGAACAAAGTCTAACAACTTTATGAAAATAGTGAGCAAGGTTACAAACCTTAATTTCTGTGCTTTGATTCTCATTTCATCTGTGATAGGAAATGCTTCGGAGGACGTCTCAATATCAATGTCTACATCTACCTGTTGAAATTAAACAATTGAGACATATTCCTGATTTTAAATTGCAGTTGCAATTACGATTATGGTTTCTCAGTGAATGTCTCCCAAACCACAATATTTTGGTGACAAGACTGGGAAAGCAAATCTAGATGATAGAAACTATGATGTTGTAGAAACATTTTGTTGTAAGTTCACATCGACTATAGGCTAAAGCAATCCTCACCTTTAGAGTAAACTTTTAGAATTGACTCGTACCTTAATCCAAATTTATTTAATAACATTAAAAAAATCTCCAGTATTCCAGCTCATCAACTAAAACGTAACTTTAATTAAAATTTGTGTTTATATACGTGTTTCTCACGAAAATAAAAAGTCTTTTACCACAATGTAATGAGAAACATTGTGTTTACATATGTTAATATACGTACGATAAAATTAAACAGTAAATACCCCTAAAAAATATGTGAAAAGAAAAACTTAGATATGATATCATACCAGTGGCATCTCATCAATATCATTGTCATTCCAATGATCAATCATCCAATTTATAGCATCCTCTAAGCTGGTATTGCCTAATGAGACAAAACATGTGTATATAAGGAAATTTGTCCATGAACAGCAACAGCAAAAAACCAAACACAAATTTGATTCATAATTTTTGGTACAATGAGAAGCTGTGTTGCTTTAAAATAAAGTGACATTCCATGATAGAAATATTTAGTGTTACATAAATGTGAAGATTTGAACTTTGAATCCAATACTAAAGATAACAATCAATGTACCTTTGAACAGGTGAACTTGAATTTAAAACCATAAAAACTAATTCCAACCAGCGGGTATCTAAAGCCAAGAAACTAGGAAACCTTTTGGAATCTGCTTAGTCTTTCTCCTTAACAGTCTCTCTTTGTATATGCACACATTCATCAGACAAATGCATGTATACATGTGAAAACCTCTATATGAGACATGGAGTTCATGTCAAGGTAAGGGCTTAAAAGCACTACAATATCAGGTCAGATTACAAAAACTTAATGTCACTACCGAAATAAACTTCTATATTATTGTAACTCACCTTTAAGAAAACCTACAAAACTAAGTGTACTGGATAAGGGAACTGCTCGGACCTACATATAGAAAAAGGAAACCGAATACTTACTCGGTCAATGTGAACCAATATTTCTTCAGGATTTAAAGGTAAATAACTTAATTAAGGATAATAATTAAAATATTATTTAAATCAAGAAAAGGGCCAAAGTCAAGGCTGACTCAGCAGGCTCATTAGCCCATTACAATGCCTATAAAAGAGAGGTAGGAAGTAGGTAGAGGTGAACTTTTCATTATTGAATATCATTTTATTACTCAGAACTGAATCCTGACTTCAGCATCGGAGTGCCTTTTGCAGGTAACCTCTCTACGTCAGCGAATACCAGGAGACGTCATCACAGCAGATCAGAGACTTGAAGATCAGTGTTACCTTTGCAGGAACACTAGGTGCTAGAGTCCTTTAAGTTGTAATGAGGTAAGCAAAACTACAAGATTTACTGTGTAACACAGAGTGTGCTTATTTTTTATATTCACTAGGACCAAGATAGACATGTATGGCCTAAAGAACAATTCTAACTTCTAAGGGAACCTGATGAGGAAACCTAACATGTCAATAGAGAACAGAAAATTATGTACCATCTTCAATCAAAGCATTAGTGTTTTCTTAGCTAGAAGATGAAACCAAGGCGAGTACACTTGCAATTTTTGCTTCTGTTAAAAACTTAAAATGTCTTTTAAGATTGATGAACTTCAGGTTTCCTTTGTAACATTTACCTCACAATAAATAATAAAATAACCAGTAAAATATTAATTAATTTCACTAAATGATTTAACAAGGCACAATAAACCAACCATAATTTTCTTGTCTACAAATCTTTAGTTATATAATAAATCAAGAATCAACTGACCAGAATAATATAGTGCTCTGATTGCCCGTGCCTGTGGAAATCCCATTTCTTCAAGGTCTTCAAGCAACTTTTCATTTACTTTTGGAACAGCCATTTCAATAATATAAAATGATACACTGCAAAAAATACATAAAAGTAGTCATGTTCGTGAAAAATCCAATAGTGCGTAGGTTGTTTCTCATACTCACTAAGCTGCCAAGATTATGATTGATACAAGTTAACAATGCAATTATATTGAATGAATAAGAACTCATCATGTTAACTACTTAACCAGATTCGGAGATAAAGATAATGAAAATCACACCAAACTATTGTCTATCCACCATGACTTGATGGATAGGTAAGAATTCAGTGGAACCACAATGCAGCAACAACAAATACTCATGAGGCTATGAAATATTGGCTATATGGAACAAACAGGCCATTAAACTATATTGAAATCCATATTTTCAATTTTTTATGGTAAGTGAAAACCATATTTTCAAATCACCCGTTTAGACAATAGTATCTCTTTTCATTGACTACAATGTATTAATGAAAAATGGTAGATAAATGATTGAAATGATTAGGGGGAAAAATCTTGCAAGCTGAAATTTGCTTTATGTATGACATTAATTAAGTATTTAACTGAAAATAAAATGTGGCATTAATGTGGTGAACTTTAAAAATACCGTTTTCAACTAACAAGGTGAAGTAGAAGGTAGCTGAGGAAGCTCTGAAATGAAATAAATCTGCTTACAACTCTTCCAGTGACCCCAAACAAAAACCACCATGCAAGCAACTAGAACGTTGAAATACCATGGAAGAAGATTCTTCCACCGTTGCCAGCACAGGAGAATGTGAGAAACCTACTACAAATTTCTGGGATTTTCTGTACTTTCCTTTTATTTGTTTCTTTTGCGATCAACATTCTCATTCTGATTCTTTTCCTTTTGGTTTGCTTGTTTGCTAAGAAAAGAACACTGTGCCATGCATTCTATTGAAGCACCCCTTTCTCAAGGTAACAATAATAAACATTCCAAGTTCTTGAAGCAGAACACTACGTGCAAGTAGCTCCAATCAAAGCAATTAATCAATTCAGGTAAAGTTAGGATAATTTATTTGGTTTTATTGAATTATATTCCTTTTGGTTAGTAATAATTTGCATTTGATCCTTTCGGCCAAAGTGCCCATCAATAAATTGGTTGATTTTCTTTTCTTTTTTCTTTTCAATCTAACAAAACACATAATAAAAAAAATTATCGAATTAACTTGTCAGTACATTTCAAATTGGATTTTACGTTATCTGTTTTCTATTACTTATTTTCTTTAACTTATTATTCATTTGCAAAATATTTTGTATTTTGTTTCTTAAATTGTAATGATGAATTATTATATTGTTTTAATCCACACACATTGTATTATAATAATAAAAAAATATTATTTAATTATTTAGTCTACAAAATAAAAAATTTAAATAACAACAAAAAAATAATTTTTTAGTAACTGTATATACTATAATTGAAGAATCATCTCACAATTTAGTTCTTCACTCATTTGTATTTTTTCCACTGCTTTCTCACTCTAAATGATTTTTACTTGCTCTTCTTTAACCTATTTAAATTTTTTTCATTAATTTTTTTTTCATTTTTTCACCCATTTACATCCTTTTTTGGACCCCCTTTTTTTACATGTTTTTTTTTTTCTCATTTGAATGATATTTTACTATAACTTTTCTTTTTTTTTTTTTACCAATTTGAATATTTCACTTTTTTTCCGCTCAATTTTGTATGTAATGTTTCCTGTTTCATTTGGATTTTAAGTTTTTTTCTCACCTGCATGATTGTTTTGCTCATTTGAATATTCTTACTAAATTTTTGCTCATTTTGATAGTTTTTTACTGGTTATTTTTCTTACTCGACTACATAATTTTTTTAATCCACTTTTCATGTGTTCATTCGCATGGAAATAACTTTGATTTTGATAAGGATTCTATATAAACATGAAATATATAGGTTGTGGGATTGAAATTTTATGTTTTTTTTTTGTCAATATTATTTGTGAACGCCTTTTTATGAATATTATTTATATTTCATATTAAAAATTTATGGCATAGTAAAATAATTGAATAAACTCAAGTTAGTCTTTGAAATTATATGGATCAGACATTTACGTCACTAAAGATCTTATAATTCCTTATTAATATTTGATTTTGTAAAATATTATTCATTTTAGTCTTTTTAATTTAAGTTTTACTATTGTTTTGCATTAAAAAAGAATGAAGTGAATGTCATTTTACAATGTCAAAGACTAATAAAAAAAGTTAATATATGAGAGACTAAAATACTTAACTAATTAAATTTCAATGACTATTTATTAGCGATTCAATATGGGGCGTGCCTATTTATTAACAGTCCCATAAATAAATGTTATTAAAAGATTAAATATTTTAAAAAATTACCCATTATTAGGGGTTCTCTTTGGAACAACTATTGAAAATTTGATCCATATCTTTTGCGTTAAATGTCAAGGATAATGATTTCTATCATTCTATCATACCTGGGCTTTGTACTCAAATCTAAAGAAAAACAATCCACTTATCACTCTCCCTATTCAAATCTGAATCTATCATTGTCTCACTCAATGGTTGTTGTTGCTTAGCACTGCTTAAATGTGGAGAGTGAAGAAAAAGCAACGACAACGAAACAATAAAGGAGAGGGAGATTGCGTTGTGTAAAATAATCAGATGAGAGAGAACAGAAAAGGTTATGTGCTGCAGAGTGTATTCAATCAAAGTTATACATTACACATTGTTATATGATATTTATGTAAATAAAAATTTATTCAGATGAAATTATATGCAATTAGAATACTAAAGAGAATTAGAGAAGCTTACTTTTAAAGACATAACCTTTGCAACAGGTCACCATAAGTTATGACTCTTTCACAGCTTAGTAGGTCGTTAGATACTTACATATCACCTAGCAGTGTCATTTATATTCCAGCCTTGACCTCTTGGGTACTAATTTTAGTCCCATTTTTTAATACAAATCAGAGTGTGTGACCGGGTTTACATTTGAAAATCTTTTTGGCATCCACATGAGAATAAAAACTAATACTCATGCCGCATGATTGGTGATCATGAGGTCACCACTAATACTGCAAAGAGTGATACTGCGAGCAGTGCTAGCAATTAGTTACCATTTGTCCAAATTGAGCTTAGGATGGCTCTTGGAAAGTTTATTACTGTAAGGAGTGATGGTAGGTCATTGGATTTAGATCCTTCTAGAAAACACAAAAAGACTATTATTATGCGGTAGAGTTCAAAACTGAGGTACTTACAATGATTCATAGTGTGGGTGGGTGATCTCCCATGCATTTGGTACAGAAAATTCATTTTGCAGAGCTGTCCTACTGATCTCAGAGCATGCATGGCAGAGTTGATGTTCTTACTTGGTGGATATCTTTTAGGAGTCAAATGAGCTCCAAGTTAAGTGTCGAATAGCTTGATGAAAAGGTAGTTTTATGAAGGACATGTTAGATTATTTTAATAATTTTATTATAGTGGCATATGTAACTTATAACATGACTCTAATTAATGATTTAATGTGATGGTGGTTAAATATAAAATATAGAGTCATTGAGGGTATAATTGTAAATACAATTATAAAGAAACCCTTCCCTCTCCCTTCATATAAATTAAAGAGCGGTTACCAAATAGGTTATGACATTCTCTTTTCTCACTTTCACGCTGAGTGAGCTGACGGTAAATGCAAGAAAGAAACTTTCTCTCAACCATCCAAGAGGAGCTGAAAGAGGAATGAAGAGTTGGAAAAATAACCAAGGGATCAACGACATCAAAGAGAGAGGTAACATCTAGAAACAATGGATTCAGATTAATACTCTCTAAATCCTTAATTGTATGAGAACCATGTATTGTGTTGTGAGAATAACGTAATTCAAGATCTAATGGGAAATGGCAATTTCATAATAGTCATTGTATAATGGAAATTACATAATAGATTAAAGAAAATTCTAACAGTTTGTATCAGAGTTAGGTTGTGAATTTCGTTGATTCTCCATAAGAGATTGGTTCTCCATTAAAGTTTTTCTCAAATTACATGAACCCTAGGTATTTTATATGATGGATTAGCATTATTTTGGTGTTGAATAATTGTTTTGGATTCAATAATTGAAAACCCTAAGGTTTTGAAAGTTAGAAACATTGGATTTTGAATCTGTAAAGTGAGTAGGGCCATATTCAGTGAGCAGGGCCATGCATTAGGGAGCAGGGCCACGCATTAGGAACAAGCACGACCATGCTTCATCGAAGCACGACCTTGTATGATGGAAGCACGACCTTACATATTGTAAGCACGACCATACATCAATTATAAGCACGGCCATGCTTTAGGAAGCAGGGGCATGCATCAGAAATGAGCATGGCCTTACTTCATTGAAGCACGACCATGCATTAAGTAAAAGCACGGCCGTGCATAGGAATTTTATGGTAGAATAAGGAATATAATTCATAAAATATATAGATAATTTTAGAATTACATCAAAGTGAATTTTACTCATCAAAGTGATTAAATTTTCAAGTTAATTAATTCTAAATTATATTATCATAATGAGAACTTCACAATTTAGTGCTTAATTTTAAAGGTAGCTTGTTAGTCACCAAAGTGGCCTAGTTTTAAAAGTTCTCTAAGCATTTAATTGTGTGTTATAAATTGTTCAAAATTGTTTGATGCTATATGGAAATAAAGAGTGAACAATTTAGCTCATTAATTATAATGCTAGGAGATTGCCCAAAGGTGGATCATTGCATATGATTAATGACATTAAGGAGACATGTAAGCACTTCATAATATGTTTGTATATCCAAAGATGACTTGCATATTAGTTTGAGTGACTGGTTGTCAATTAAAGTTGTTTATTAGCATCATTATAGATAAATTGTGTATTTAGGCGTTACCTAAAGGTAAACTTAGATGCATAATTGATGACAGTTGACTGTCCGAATCCATTAAGTTTATTGAAAGCATAAATGTTTAAGCATGAGTTAAATATTTCAGTCTCTATGAATACGTATGGCATGAGCAATGGCATAGTCAAGTTCAATAGGCTTAATTACGATGATTGGGCTGAACAAGTTCGATTCCAGCTAGGTGTTATGGACTTAGACCTAGCAATCATTATGGAAAGAAATCTTCGTGAGGCTTGGGAAAGGTCGAATAAGCTGAGCTTGAGCTTGAGCTTGCTGAAGATGACTATGGCTAAAAATATGAAACCATCAATGCCAAAGACTAAAAATGCTAGGGAATTTATGGCAATGGTAAAAGAGTATGCACAATCAGACATTACTGTCAAGTCCATTACAAGCACCCTGTTGACTGAGCTAACTACTAAGAAGTTTGATTGGTCACGACCCATTCATGACCATGTGACTGACATGATCAATCAAGCAGCAAAGGTGAAATCAATGGGCATAGAGGTAAAAGAATTCTTTCTAGTACAATTCATTTTAAACTCACTCCCTCCTGAGTTTGGTCAATTCTAGGTGAATTACAACACCATTAAGGATAAATGGAACATACAGGAAATTAAGGTCATGCTGGTTCAGGAGGAATAGAGGCTAAAGAAGGTGAAAGAACACTCTGTCCATCTCACATTTCATGAAGGGGCTAGTAGTAGCAAGGCTAAGCCAAGTAAGAAGGACAACAAGGACAAGAAGGATAAGGCCTTATTAAAAGTTCGTGAAGGCCGAATCCAGAAGGACCAGAGGTGCTTCTTCTGCAAGAAGACTAGTCACTTCAAGAAAGATTGTCCGAAGAGAAAG